GACGCGAGTGCCAAAGACACTCACGAGAGAAATAAATGTAGACCATACAAATATTTCTTTCGGCCTGGGAATAGAACCCGGTACCTCTGCTTGGCAAATCAGCGTGGAAACCGTTCGGCCACGGAGGCAGTTGAATTATGCGTACTTTGTGTAGATTGGATGCATTCAATCAATTTGGAAGTAAGAGTAGGAGCTACTCTTAATTTTGGTTATATTCTTGTTAACTTGATTGTTAATATTGTTAGGGACAAAATGTTATTATATTAACTTTTTTTTAAAAGGAAACCTTTCTCAAAAGTTTGCGGAATCACATCTATTTGCCAAGTTTTATTAAATTCAGTTAACGGGAAATAGGTGAAATCCAATAAACCTGAATTAATCTCCTAATTTGCCACCCTTAGAGGTGGAATATTTTCTTGAATTTTTGTATGATACCACTACAGAAGTACACACAAAAAAATACAATCGAAATGAGAAACTCCTTCTTTTTTTAAAGTCGGTTAAAAAGAAAAAGAGTTTTACGGCTCTATATAGTTAATAACAACAATAAAGTACGTTGTTCTAAATTCAAATTATTATAGATTGTGTTCGGAAACCCGAAGATTGCCGTGAGACTTTCGAAAATGCTTGTACTGCAATCTGTAAACTACATATTTTTCGATATTTTATATACTATGTGAACACAGTAAGGTTTAACTTGCGATTCGTAAGTGCTAGTTAATATTAATATGATCAATGCATTGAAACTTACGGACGGGCGCGTACATTTTAAATATAGCTATTATAGCTATGGCTTATTTCTGGGTAGCTCACTTTATTTTGAAATTTACTTCTAAGACCAAGTTCGGCTGGACTGTTGAAGTTTGCAAAGATTGTAAAGAACTGCAGTATTCTTAGAGACTAGAGCGCTTATATATTGGAAACTACTTGAAATAAGGACGTTACGTTATAGCTGGTCAATGAATATGAAGCACTATACTTCGCATCCTTGGTGGAATAAGGTCACATCTGCAAAAAGACAACTTTTCAGGACAGCGGTTAAAGATTTTACAAATTAAATTAGTCGACAACTTTTTATGTATAGAGGAGTTACATAATTTCATAAACGTCATGACAACTCATTATCAGGAATCGCATCATCATAGGGTTCACGATGGCAGAATTCTTGAATTGAAAATCTCATACTAAAGGCTACAGACGTGTATTCTATCAATTCTTCTTCAATTCTAAATATTATTACAGATCAATAGCACAAGTATTGGTTCATATAATTAAATTATCGATTACACAATAACTCTAAGGATGATGCGGATAGAAATTGATTAAAAATATGAAACACGATGTGTTCAATACAGAGCTGGCGCATGTCACATGTCCAACTCATTCCATGTCAACAACCAGTATGGCGGCTCTGCCGCCCGTTTCTTCAGCGCGTCAGATTACTTTAGAATTTTAACCAAACAGGTTTGTTTACTTTTTGTTCAAAATGGATTAAAACAGACTATACCAACATCACGACTGATAACTGCCAGATCCGGTGGCGCTATAGCCAAATAAGAGAAATCGATTCGATATTTTAAGAGTTTGTGATTGTTTAGATTATTTTTCGGTTCATTGTTTATTTAGGGGGTTTAAAAGGCCAAATCGTGCAATTCTGTTAAAAGCAATTAATTTACAGAATTCCTTGCAATTCTGTAGCAATTCCTCTTATTTTCGTAAAATTGTCCGATATTCCGATTGATTGTAACCAATTCGTTTAATTTTGATTTTATAATATTCATAAATGGTTTATTACGAGAATTTAATGTAAATAATTATGTTCGTCAATAAAACAACTACCTACATAAAAATATTAAATTACCAAGAAACCAAGGATTTCATAAATTTTCAACAATGTGGCTGGCAATAAGTTAGAAGTTGTCAATGCCAACAAAAAACAATCTCAAATAATGTTATCTAATGTTTTTTTTTTTCCGAGAAATCGAAGTTACTCGGTGAAATTCGGCGATTAATTGCTTACAACACTATTATTTAAAAAAAAAATTGCTTGAGGACGTAACTGTTTTCACGACGTTTCGGGGTAACTCAAAACCGCATTTTATTTTGAAATTGGCGCGAAGATAGTACTTCAAATATGTTTTGTCATACGAGTTATTTATTTTTATATAATGTTTCAATAAAATTTATGTATTTTTTTAAACTCAATTTTGTTAATAACTGTTTATTGTTTCGTTGGTCGCTTTCAAAGTTACACATTATCACCTTCTTTAGTTGTCAAATTTGGCCTCTTATTTGGTGACGACTTCAGCAACATTACAACCGACAATGTTTTACCAGACTAGTCGATAGGTGGCATTGTAATTAATTAACAGGCATTCCTAGTTCTACAATCATCCGCCAGGTGGCGCTGCAGTGAAGATGCGATATACATAATTTGTTTATGTAGTACGTGTTACTTTTATAACCTTCTTGTGATAAAAACACTTTTGACATATGATTATATGCGGTTGTGTTATACCAAGAATACGACTTATGTAACTGCATTCGTCAGCCTATTGCAGTGCACTGTTGGACATAAGCTTTTTCCAATGGGGTTGGAATAGGGTAGGAGGGAAATATTTTGAAAAACTGTAAATTAACTTTTTTCATAGTAAAAACACCACTTCGTCGCTCAACTCCATTATTTGGACAGTGCGTCTAGTCAGTCTGAGAACTGTATCCAACTAGCTGCACCAGCAGGGGCATAGAGGTGGTTGCTTATTGGGTCAAGAAAATATAACACAAGTTTTTTTAAATTGTTTTTTGTCTTGTCTTGACTCGACAAGAAGAAGAGCTTCGAGAACAGTTAGAACAGTCAAAACGAACAGCGCTAATCCGACCACGCGGCAAGATATTTAGCGCGCTAAAACCCTTTCATATACCGCCACCCGAGCGATAACTTGTACACAGCCCGAACAATCGCGACGATAGCCGACAATGGTAGGCAGTACCAGCGTGTATTGTATGATTGTGCTAAGCTTTGTGACGGACGCAGGTGCAGCCCCAGCGAATGCAAATGCTTTTGGCGAATATCTTCTCGGGGAATTCCTCTACAATAATTGATAAGTATGGGAGCACGGGGAACGAGTGAGACAAACGCCGGCAGGCAACGCCCTGCTTTATTCCTATAAAATGAGGATGGTGGCCGCAGCCACACACACGTGTATACAACCGCATATATAACAATAATATTTAATGCAAACCTCGCATAATGCGCGCGGGCACGCGAACGGATCACCCTATATTTCTTGAGACTTGTACGCATTTTACAAGTACATTTTGTTCCACAAACCTCAAGATACAACATCTTTTACTAAAGTATAACGATAAGCACGAAGTACACCGTAACACGTTTCCGTAACAACAATATTTGGTTAAAAAACAAACTTCCATCTCATAAAATTTAGTCATGCATTTAACTACCGAACACCTTACGGTTGTCGTAAAAAATAAGTGGCCATAAGAAGGGTGCCCGTTATGTGTCCATATCGCAGGCCGATTTATAAAGGGGGTCCTTCAATGTTTTAGCCTTCAGAATATTCCAGATTTAGGGCGTAAAGACGTCGGGAAAGTAGGTCAATGTATCTTTCGGGGTTTTCGTTTTATTTAATTAGGAAGTTTGCCGGTATATAAAGTTTGTGGGTGCGTGAGTGATAGCAGGAATCGCGGTTTATTAAACTGGAATAGGAAGAGTTGAAATGATGTCGTAAATTATGTTATTTCTATAAGAGACAGTTGAGAAAATAGAACACGAGAAGGCTTTTTCGGGAAAGTATGTAACTTTTAACAGTATTTCATCCTTAACTGGTATCTGCACAAATGCTTCTTTTAGTGTTGCTGTAAAAGAACTTGGTTGAAGATTATTGACAAATTTGTAGAGCGAATGTGGAAGGATACGCGAGGAAAGGACCTCGATGTTACATATCTTGATCAGATTGGGGATGGCCTTAAAGAGACCAGGTAGGTATTGTAGTACAGACAGCTTAGGTTTTGTATTTAGAATTGTAAGAATAATAGAGAGTTGATGTCAAACAGACATTTAGGAGTTCTGGACAAAGCTTTGAAATTGATACACGTATACACGTATACACGTATACGAGTACACGTATAAAGTTATAATTATGATATAATCGTCGTTTATAATCTACGTTCCCATGCTATAAATGGTGGAGGCCGCCTTATAAGTGGTGGAGATCGCCTTACGTGGAAATTCCAATGAGGAAAAATTTTATATGATTTTACGAAAAATCTCCAAAGAGAGGAAGAGGAAAACATATATAAGGTCGTAATTTTGATTTATATTACTTATTTTATTGTTTTATTTCTTGTGCAAGTGAAAAAAGCAAGAAAGAATATGCATCTTATGGCGGCGCAAAAGTTTACGGGGTTGATGACGTTGACGAATTTATTTCAGTTTGAGGCGATCAGCGTATTGAATAATTGGTCAGATGGGCAAAAGAGATACGTGTTAGCATTGTGTCTGGAGGGGCCGGCTCTCCAATGGTACAAAACGTATTTTTCTTCATACACGACGTATGGTATAATTGCATAAAAGCTTAAGGAGGAATTTCTCTCGCAGATAGATTATGCCCGAGAGTTTTATTATAGGCGACAATTGCCTAATGAAACGCTCTTGAATTATTTTTATAGTTTAGATAAGTTAGCGACGAAAGCGAATATTCAAGATGTTCAGTTTATTAGACATTTCTTGAAGTCTTTGATACCCAGTTTTCAATGGATGCTGGCTAGTAATTTGAATTTGTCGAAAGAGGAGTTGAGAAAAACAATTATGCAAGTAGAAGATATATTTAATCACGGTTACGATGTGGGTCGCCTAAATATTGAATTGCCAGTATATTTTCATAAGGAGCACTCTCACTGTTGGCAAACACAGGGTGACTCTACACCGATAGTTGGACCCGAGTCTGAACAGTCGGAATATCAAGTGCCACGGGCAACAATCATGCAGCAGGATACGCCACGTCAAGTGTATTCACGGGCATATAGTAGTGGATCTTCGTCGGGATCTCCTCAACGTGGATGTCAGCAAAGCGCGGCTGAACATTTAGGAAATTTGGATACAATTGATGGTTTTAGTGTAGATAGGGCACCTTTTATATCTGTTTTTGTTAATAATATAAGGTGCAAGGCGTTGGTGGATACTAGTGCTTCGGTTTCAATAATCTATCATTGTTTTGCAAAAAGGTTACATTTGCAGATGGATGATACTCCGAGTTTTCCATTTCCAAAGTGCAGGCGTCCACCAAAGTGTGATTGACAATTAATGGAAATAAATAACTATCGAGGTTGCTTGTTGAGCAAGGTGATGAGGAATGTCTTATCCTCGGCCAGGATATTTTAAAGGAATATAATTTCAAGTTGTCAAAATTGAAAATTGACAATAAAATTTCTTCTAAGTCAATGACAGATATCGGGTCAAAGAAAGAAAAGTCTTCTATCGGGCCGGTATCAAAGAGTTCTGATAACTTGGCGGTAAAGAACTAGGAATACATATTCTGCTCGGTTATCGGAAATAAAGAAAAGAGTTGACGTAAGTGGCAAGACGGGTCAATGGCGTCAAAACGGTAATTCCTTAGAAAAAATTTGTAAATATGTTTTGCCGAAAGTGCGTAGTTCGTCTGAAAATAAAATAGCGCCTGAGTTATATAAGTCGGAAAATGATAATTTTAAACGTGGTTGTGTGTGTTGCGGAAAATTTACGGGACAATTTTTGGAAACGAGCAGCCTTCATTGGTTCGCACAATGGGCAGATAAGAAGTAGTTACACGGTCAGAACAGGAGCGGAATTTTGATAAAAAAGATAGAGTTGCTTTGTTGTCCAGGAGATATGCGGAATATGATGATATGCGGAAGTTAGGTTAACTAGATCTACTCCTAGTTTGGTCGACAGGTTCTCTGGTAAGCAGGATCTGGTGCATGTGAATAGGTTAAATAGGTTCTATAGTTTTTCATATGGAGCCATGATGACGGTGTATCTTGAATGCAGAGATATAAGGACGGGAGGAGGAGATGGACTACTGACTTGGATGGATATAATTTGTTTTTTATTTTTCATTTTATGGATATATTATCTTGTGTATGTGCATTGTTGTTAGTCATTCGACCAGATGAACAGGAACTATCTGCATTCAAGGGAAAATATATTTGTTTAATTATTAGGAATCCTCCATATGATATAACGCCATATCATATTGGTGTTAGGAAATGTTGTTGTTAGGATAATTGACGTGTGAAAGTAGGAAATTTTGGTGGAACGTGGATAGCTGCAGGACGAGGACTAAGGCAGCTGAGAAGTCAATATTGATGTTACCCAGTGGACGCCCGATGTGTGCTCAAGCCTGTGATGTCGTCGTAACAGCGTGCATGATGAGAATTGTTATTTGTTTGGAATTATTTAAAGATCCTGGTAGGATTTAGGTTAGGTAGGAAGCTTGAATAAAGAATTAAGGTTTAATAGCTAGGATACCTAAATAGCTAGAATAGATAATAAATATATTTAGATTGTTTGATTAGGAAGTTGTCATAGTCTGTCTTTTAGATAGGTTTTTGACAGATTAAAGCCCCAGCCTTCTCGGTGGTTTTGTTTGTTAGTAAGTGATAGCTTCCCAGCAGTGTGTGGCTAGCCTGTAGTAAAGGCTGATCACATGTGTATGTTGCTTATCATAGGTAGGGCACTAGTTCGGGATGTTCACCCCTTCTGTTGTGAGGAAGAGAGATGTAGTACAGGCAGCTTAGGTTTTGTATTTAGAATTGTAAGAATAATAGAGTGTTGATATCAAACAGACATCTAGGAGTTCTGGACAAAGCTTTGAAATTGAATACACGTATTAATTTCTAATTATGATATAATCGTCGTTTATATTTATAAAGTACCTCTCGCTACGCTACCCAAGCTACGTTCCCATGCTATACCTGGTAGATTATAGTTTTCATATTTCGCTTAATCGACTACAAAACGTATCAACAATATTTAAAAAAATATGAAACGAGTGTTTTAGTAATTTAATTAATTTTAATTACGCCCACGTAACTTAGTGACCGAATGAACACAGAGTAACCCAATTTGGGATTAATTAAAACCACAATGAGCTCAAAACAGCTTTTCGTTATACGTAGATAATTAAATTTGTTACGGCCATTGCTATTTATCCGTCACAGTGGCTACGTTTTGAATCGTAGACCGCTGTACAAAATAATTAGGTCGAATAGCTACGACGCTTCTACGCGGTTTGGCAGTCGTGCATCAGCCCCTACGTATTACGTAGACAAATACGCAATTTAGGCTGCCAACAGATGGACTGGACATCTGCAGTTAATGGGTGCAGTCGTGATCAGCTGCATGCAGTCGAGACTCCAATTGCGTGCAGTCGAGAGTGCAACTGCAAGCGTTGGCTGTTGTTTACGTGAACGATAGTCAGAGAATCTAAAGCAGCAGTTGACATTCTTAAGGGAGCATACGATTTTTCTTATATGTCCTGGAACGATTACATGAAAGTTTAATCAACATAGGGACTAGGGAAACCCTGTATCGCAGGTGTCAGGGACATAAGACAACCATAAATTACACCCAAACTCATGAGAGAAATAAATGTAGGCCTTACAAGTATTTCGATTCTCCCGGCCCGGGAATCGAACCCGGGACCTCGGCGTGGTAGTCCAGTGTGGTAGCCGTTCGACCACAGAGGCAGTAATGGCACCTGTGTTTTCATTTTCGATCGCAATTTCAATCGCAGAGCATAGTCGGGGATCACGGACGTGAATCGCATTAGAAACTTTACGCTAAAGAAGTTACTCAACCACAAGGTACAAAATGATAATGGTAGACTAAGCTTATGTACGCGTAATTACACCTGCAGTTGGCACGCGTGTTACGTTTATTTACCACTTCTTTTGATAGCAGTAGAGCTCCTTGTGAAAGAAGTACTGCCAGGGTAGTACTTTACCACCTTACCTATTTCTGCCGCCAAGCAGTAATGTCAGTATAACTGCGTTCCGGTTTTAAAGGGTAAGGGTGCTGGTGAAATTACAGGCACATGGGACTTGTCATCTTTTGTTTCAGGAAGAGTGGCACTGTAACTGTTATGGACAGGCGTGTAGCTTACCATCAGGAGCACAATTTATTGTACTGTATTTATTGTTCTGTGGGTAATAACTGCGCGAAGTCACTTTCGAGTGCATGAAGTTGTACCAGCTTCGCACAAGCAGTCCGTCTAGTAGCAGCCTAAGGAAATTCAATACTGTGGTAGCCAATTGCGAGAACGGTTATTTGAATCTCTGTGGCGGCCTGTACCTACGACTTTAATTTCTAAGTTCTAACATTTATGAATGTTTTGTGGCATTACCTTTAGTTAACGGTGAAGAAAAACATTGTAACTTATACGAAGAAGTTTGATGATTCTGGGAAAACGAAGTCCCTAACCAGCATTTGACCAGCGTGACGGACTATCGCCCAAATCATCCTGTGAGCGCTTGATGTGGAGGCTTCGGGTTTCCAATAAGACCAATTTAGGAATTGATTTATTTTCAATTGGTTCTTGTCTGGCTGTTTAGAGTAATGGCCGATAGTTAGTAGAGACCAGGGGGCCTACCACAACCTCTTAAAACAATATTACTTTAACCTTACATTGACTTTTCGTACCAGGACGCCCTTAAAGTAAGCTTGTTATAATGTTAAAACCATAGATATAGAAAAAAAGGGGAGATATGGTATGGGGGCGTGTTTCGTGTCGCCTCGACATGGTCAAAATGACCATATCGAGATGACACGCCTACAAACATCGCCATAGTGACATGGCGATCGTTGTACATACAAGATCTCTCGTAAAACGTGAAAATGCCAAGTTGTAGCGATACACCTTGTAAAAATTGGAGTGAAAACAAAAATTTTAAAACCAGTGAGATAACATTCCACCGACTATTTGCATTTTTTGTTACTATATCCATAGAAATTTCTAGATTCAAATATAGTGATGTTCATTTACGAAGACTGATGTTTATCGACAGTAAATTTTTAGTGAAATGTTTGAATTTCTTTGTATGATTTTTGTAATTAAAGTCCCTAAAATATCGAAGCGAAAAGCATTCACGTTAAATTGATTTCTTTTATTTTATTATTATTACTAAACATTTTATTTCGAGTAACTTTAACACAACTCACATTTCGGACAACCGTTTCAATTTCATGTCAATTTGGATGTTGCTGTTGCTTGAAGAAAAATTTATGTGTTTTAGATATTTAAGATGTTTAAATTCCGTTATACTCGTAGATTAAACGTGGAGTATTTTTAATTTTTAAGTTTTTCCAATGAGTTTAAAATAAAAGAAATTTGGATTGAAGCTCCAGGAAAATCGAAAGATTGGTTTTCTTATTTACTATTTCTGACTTTTTTTCAATTTCCATAGCAAATGCATTTAAAAAATAAATAAAATAATATCGGTTTTATTTTACTTGTGCATGCAAAATAAATTAGAAACAATTATAGAAAATTGCATAACCCTTCATAAAAAAACAACATAATTTAATTTATTAAATTCGTTGATGGTTCGAATTTACTCTTGACAGTGACAGCTTCACCAACCCGTGGTAACGTATAATGGAAAATTGACACTGGCGACTGTCGCCATATTTTTTATATTATTCTTATAAAACTGACACTGGTCCATTAAGAAAATAATAATAATTTATATTAATATATTTATTTAATAATAGACCAGTACCAGTGTAGATATAGTATGAAAAATGGAATATTTTTTTTTTAAAAAAACAGCCACATAGTTTCCAAATATCGATTATGTAGGACCACATCACTCGTTGAGTAGCGTCAGTTTAAGGTTAATAAGGTTAACAATTCACGGAGCGGTTTCCATCCGCGCCCGCCGGTGCAGCTAGACAGCGGTTTTATTTGAATACTTACGACCCTGCAAGTTTGTGCGGGCACGTAGCTGCCGCGGTTGCGGGTACGAAACCGTTCCGATTGCGGAACAGACCGCGAAGTTAGTGGGAGTGAATTGCAAGTCGCGCGGTTAATAGAGAACT